GTTATGCACCCACCTTATAGTAGCTCCATCTAGGTTGTATTTTCCTAGTTTGTTTATGAGAAAGTCATTTGAGACAGTATCAAAAGCTTTACTAAAGTCAAGATATACCACATCTATCACTTCCTCCTATCCACAAGACTTGTTACCCTGTCAAAGAAAGTTATTAGGTTGGTTTGACATGATTTCTTCTTCAAAAATCCATGCTGACTGTTACTTATCACCTTATTATATTCTAGGTTTCAGAGTAACAGCCGTGTTAGTCTGTATCCGCAAAAAAAAATCTTCTTTTTGCGATTATATTCTAGGTGTTTGCAAATTGATTGCTTAATTTATTTTCCCCATTATCTGGGTACTGAAGTTAAGATGACTGGTCTGTAATTTTCTGGATTGTCCTTATTCCCTTTTTTATAGATTGGCACTTTATTTGCCCTTTTTCAGTCCTTGGAATCTCTCCCTCCTTCCCTGACTTTTTTAAGATAATCACTAATGGCTCAGATATCTCCTCAGTTAGATATCTCCTCAGTCAGTAGAATGTATTTCGTCAGGCCTGGCAACTTGAAGACGGTTAACTCGTCTAAGTAATTTTTTACTTGTTCTTTCCCTATTTTAGCATCTGATACTACCTCATTCTCACTGGTGTTCACTATATTAGAAATCCAATTGCTACTAAACTTTTGGTGAAAAATGAAACAAAATAGTCATTTAGCACTTCTGCCATTTCCATATTTTCTATTATTGTTTTTTCCCTCCTCTTTGAGTAACTGACCTACCCTGTCCTTGGTCTTCCTCTTGCTTCTAATGTATTTGTAGAAATGTTTTCTTGTTATCCTTTATGATTGTAGCTACTTTAATCTCATTTTTGCCTTAGCCTTTCTAATTTTATCCCTACATGCTTGTGTTGTTTGTTCATATTCATCCTTTGTAATTTGATCTAGTTACCACTTTTTGTAGGGTTTCAGATCACTGAAGATCCTACATTTGTACCAAGATAGAGCACTAATACCTTATCCTTTTCCTCTGGGACGTTCCAGGTACTGGTCTGGGAGAGAAATGACCACCACTTGCTATGGTAAAACACTCACATGTCCTAATCTGGATAGTTTCCCTATTTACTTAAGCCAAAACTTTCTTCAGCGAACACAAGGTGTGATGCCATATTAGCATAAGTGAACTGGATTATAACAAAGGTACAGGTCAATTTAAGCTATATAACTGCTAGAGTGTTTCTGCTAAATGCATATTAATAGGTATATGGTGAGAATAATACATATTATTAATGTGATTATATATATTTATATAGATGGTAGCCACCATACATTGGTCAACAGCAGCTGGGACTCTGGCTCAGAATTTTTTTAGTCAAAATTAAAACCCTACCATTAATGTTGGATTCTCCCTTAGCTGGACTCTGCCTTCTAACTCTATCCCTGACTTTAACCCCTTATTCTGACTCCTATTGTCTTCACTGGATTTACTCTGCATACTCAGATTTAACTGAGAGCAATCTGCACATGCACCAATTTCCTGAGTAGAACTGATCATAAAAATGAAGACAAACAAATTCTGCGGAGGAGGGAAAAATGAAATTTTTGAGTCATTTTAATTTTGCAGGTTTTTTAAAAGACATGATTTTCTTTTGTTTATTGGAAGTTTTTATTGGTTGGTTTTCCAAAGTCTTTTAATTTCAAAATTTTCCAGTTTTGTTTGTTTTTCACTTTTCTTTCTTTCCCCTCCTCTTTCATTTGCCCATTTCCTCCCCTTTTGTGTCTAAACAAGCAGTGCAATAAGGACAAAATGACAGAAACAACCCTAAAAATGCCAAAAAACCCACCTCCAGACCAGTGGCACCGCTATGGGCACCCGCATGGCCCCACAATATGCCAACATTTTTATGGCTGACCTGGAAC